TCTGTCCTACCATGCGTGCATGCCGCCGGCTGCCTACGCCACGCTGTACGACACCGACGATGACGACTTGGCATACGACGAAGCCGAGGATGACGTCGTCCTGCCGGAGCTCGACCCCAAAATGCACGCTAACCCCGAGCACCGTTGGGACATCGCGACGATGACGGTGAAGGAGGCGCTGGCAAGCTGGAAGGGTAAGGCGGTGAAGGCCGCCATGGACGAGGAGATCCGCAGCCTCATCGCCAACGGCACGTGGGAGCTGGTGGAGCGGCCGAGAGGCGTAAAGATCATGAAGAACCGGTGGGTGCTGATGGCCAATTACCACGTCGACGACACGATCGCCCGGAAGAAGACGAGGCTAGTCGTGAAGGGCTTCACGCAGGTGTACGGCGCCGACTACGACGAAACTTACGCGCCGTTGAGCAGCTATGTCACGCCGAGGATCTTCCTCAGCATCACCGCCGTCCTCGACCTGAACCTGATGCAGCTCGACATGAAGAACGCCTTCCTCCAGAGCAAGCTGGACTGGGTGTTGTACATGTACCAGCCGGACTACTACAACGACGGGACCGGCCGGGTATGCAAGCTGCTGAAGAGCCTGTACGGGTTGAAGCAGTCGCCACTGCTGTGACACAAGGCGCTCAACGACGTGCTGGTCAGCGCTGGGTGGCGTAGCCTGCTGGGTGTTGGTCTACGTCGACGACCTGCTCGCCGCCAGCAGCAACATCGCGATGCTGAAGGAACTGAAGGAGATGCTGGAAACCGCTTTCGGACTGGAGATCTCGCCGGTGCAGAAGTACCTCGGGCTGGAGATCGTGCGCGACAGGCCGGCGAGGAAGCTGTGGCTGCACCAACAGGGCTACGCCGACAAACTGCGCAAGCAGTTCATCGACGAAAAGCAGACCGGGCGCACCCCGATAACGCCGGTCTCCGTCGACGCCTACGCCGAGCTGACGTTCGACGACGAGGAGGCACAGGCACGCCAAGAGGAGGAGTATCGGCAGAAGGTCGGCTCGCTGCAGTTCGCGGCAACGACGACGAGGCCGGACATCGCCTTCGTCTGCAGCAAGCTGGGGAGCGGCCTCACGGTGAGGAGCAACCAGCACTGGCGCGAGGTCGACCGCTGCCTCACCTACCTCGCCAACACTCGTGACACCGCCCTGGAGTTCGGCGGTGGACCAGAGACGCTGGAGCTGGTCGGCTACGTGGACGCCAACGACGCCGGTGACAAGTAGAACCAGACAAGCGTTGGCGGCTACGTGTTCGTCTACGGAGGGGCCGCAGTCTCTTGGTCGAGCCAGCGCATCAAGTGCGCGACGTTTTCCTCGACCTGTCGGAGTACGTGGCGGCAACCGAGGCTGGCAAGGAGGGACGTCGCCTTCGCTTCCTCCTTGCAGAGTTCCGGCAGCTGGACGCTGGGAAGCCGACTGTCCTTCGGGTGGACAACAAGTCGGCCATCACGGTCGCCGAGGGCATGGAGCTGACGGGCAACCTCAAGCATATGGAGCGACGCTACGCCTGGCTGCAGCACATGGTAAAACGCGGGAAGTTTTCGCTGAAGTACATCCCGACCACCGAGCAGCCGGCCAACTTCCTGACGAAAGCGCTGCACTACCCGGCCTTCAATCGGTGCTCCGGTACAATCGGCCAAGTGCACCTGGCCGACAAGGGCGACGACGACGACGACGTGCAGCAGTAGGTGTCATGCCCTCTTGCATGGCTGGTGCGGTGACCGGCGTGCTGTGTGTTGGGTGCACGCCGACGGGCTATTCTCCGAGCAGTGCTGCCGTGTGGGCTGGGGGGGCCCAAGCGTGAACGCGGCAGGGGAGTGTCAACGGGAGTTGTTGTTGGCCCCGTCCTCGCTTGGGCGGAGCCGACCTCGTGGTCGGGTGTGCGGGAGGTGCAGCCGACCTGCAGCAGTGGGCGACGCCGACTTGAGCGAGGAGGTCGACGGGCTAGGTCGACGTGCATGGGGACACTGCAAGCCGCCGACTTTGGGATGCCGACGGCCGACATCCGCGTGTGGTCGATGACGAGCTCGTCGACCAGGGGAGGGCGCCAAGTTTGGGTGGTCGATCTGGTGAGGACGACCTTGGAGGCGTCGACTTGGTGACGCCGATCCGGGGGAAGCCGACGTGGTGTGGTCGGCTAACAGCTGGGCTGGTCGACCTGGTGTGGTCGACTGGAAGTGAACGTCGACTTGGGTGGGCGACGGCCACGAGGAGAAGCAGCTGGTCGACGCGGGGCACACAAGCTGACGATGCCTTTGTTGTTGCCCGGTCGACCAGGTTAGTCGGGCGACGGGGATCAGCACAAGTGCGCGACAGTTGCCCAGGTGGTTCCTGCGAAGCCGACCTCGGAAGTGGTATCTCGAGGTCGACGTGGCTGGTGGGCGCAGTCACTGGTGTGTTCTCGGCCTGGCGTCTGCGCTGTGCACGTGACGGGGCGTGGCACACCAACTAGCCGCGCGCGCCTGCGGAGCAGGTGCACCGTTGTCATGCGGGTGCAACGCTATGTAGCCGACTTACAACAGCGTTGGCACACCGCGGACTTGCAACGTTGGCAAGCTGCTGCTCTGCAGCACTGGAGCGGTTCGAGCTATGCAGCGCTAGAACGCAGTCGACCGTGCTGCACTGGCAGTAGACCTGCTTGCATGCTAGCTTTGATGTAGTCAGCCTTGCCAACTTTGTTGCTATCATTCTGAACCTCTGTTGTGAACCTTTACTACCAAAATTCTAGTCAATTCTCCTCGTGAACTAGCAAGTAGTGAGCACACAAGGAAACAACTAAGGGACAAACGCAGAGATTACTTCTACGCCGTGCCTTCCCCGTAGTCAGGCTCCCGTTGCTAGAGTTATCTTCGCAGAGAGGGGCTCAAAGGAAGTAATGGAGGGGCTTACCGCGACATACAGTTGCCTTAGTTGAGGAACGTTGCGAGGAGCGATGAGCGAGAGAGTGACGTAGAGCTGACAAGTCATGCCATGATTTCAATTCATAATCCCATGCCATGTCACACCATGCCGTGCAGAGCAATGCCATGCCATGTCACACAATCCCAAGGCATGGCAAGCAAGAGGCCACCAAGACATACAAGGGGTAAGAAAGGGGGGCAACCATCATGCCACACAGAATGTCATAATTTTCGGCACCAGCCCACGAAAGCTGGGCAGAAAATAATAATAATAAAAAAAATAATAATAAAAAACAGGAATAGCTGCGGTCATTGTCTTTAGCCAGAGGCCGGCCAACGAGAAACACAAGATGGCAACGGTGTGCAAGAGGAGGATTAGAAGAGACAGAGGATGAAAAGGAAGACGAACAGCAAGAGCAAGAAAAGGCCACGGGAAGGCAGGGAAGCGTGCGACACGCAGCATCCGCATGATCCAATCATGCACTGGCAGCAGCGGTGGAGGAGGGGGGGGTTGAATACAGAAGGCGCAGAGGGAGGGCAGGAGAAGAGAGAGGGCGGTGGAGGCAAGGAAAGAGGCACGTGGGGCCGAGGAAAGAGGCATGTTAGGGCGAGGAAAGAGGCATGTTGGGGCGAGGAAAGAGGCATGTTGGGGCGAGGAACGAGGAGAGAGTGAGCAGACCTGGGGGTGGGCGAAGAGCGAGGCCACCATGTGGGCTGACGCCAGCCACCACTCTGCTGCCTCCCACTCGCCCCCGCCGCCCCCACCTGCACCAGCCCCTGCTGCAGCCGCACTGCCATCAGCAGCAGCAGGGGTGGAGGAGGGCAGGGGCGGTTTGACAACTGGGGTGGACAGGCGGTGGGGTGGCGAGGCGGCAACGAGCACCACGTGCTTGTGACGCTCCAGGCCCGCTGGTGGGGTGGCTGTGGGCGCTGGCGTGGGGCACAGCATCTGGCGAGGGGAGGGGGGGAAGAGGGCGGGGAGGGGGGGGGGGGGGGGGGACAAAGGGGGAGAAGGAGGGAGAAGGAGGGAGAAGGAGGGAGAAGGAGGGAGAAGGAGGGAGAAGGAGGGAGAAGGAGGGAGAAGGAGGGAGAAGGAGGGAGAAGGAGGGAGAAGGAGGGAGAAGGGGAAACAGTGAGGAGCAGGTGAGGTGGCGCTGGGCTGCACCAAGCTGGTCGTTGTAGCAGCGAATGGGTGGCAAGGAAAAGGGGAGTGGTGGTTGGGTTGGGTTGGGTTTATGGTGACATATTTGCAGGAGGGAGAGCAGCTATGTTGCGCCCTGTTGCGCTATGTTGTGGTGGTGGTTGGGTTGGGTTGCGCAGCTATGTTGCGCTATGTTGCACATTTATTCCCCCCCACACATTTGTACCCAAGCACATCTACTTCTCCCAACCAGGTCGACCCCCAACTAAACTAGAGAACCAGATCTAGGTCGACCCTACACAGATCTGTTTCTCTCGACATTGCCAAGCATTCCCTAGACTACTTTATGCCAGTCACGCTAAGCCTTCCTAGCTAAAATTAAATTAAGGCGATTAAGATATTATGTCAACTTGTGTGTGAGATGATGAGATTTTCAGGATTTTATGGAGTATTTATGACTTTAGGTGACAAATGTGAACTTCTTGCATTCTAACCCCTGCGTATCCTTACTAGGCAGGTTTTTTTTACCCTTGCCCGGGAAAAGTTTTGCCCTGCCCGGACTAGCGTCAAGCAGGCGTCCAGGGCAGACGACACCGGGCGTCAAGCGTCTGGACGCCCCGTCCAGACGCCAGCGTCAAAAACGCCTGACGCGTCAGGCGCAACGTAGGAGAGCAGCAGCGCCGGGTGCGCAATGTCACTGCTTTTCTTCCCATGTAACCGTGTCCCGCCTCACCTCACACCAATGCCCAGCCGGCTGCCTCTCCACCTCACCTCACCTCACCTCACCTCACACCAGTCTCCTGGCCACGCCACACTCTCACCTCCGCAAGTGGCATACGCCTCAACTCACCAGCAGCGCCTCTGAGAGGCCCTCAGCCACAGCGGCATCGGCAGCACCACCCCCCGAGAAGGAGAGCGCGTCAAGCCACGAGAGGAAGACGGCAGGCGATGCCGTGAAGGGCGTCTGCTGCAGCAGCGAGGCTGGCGGGTTGGGGGGCGGGGAGAGTGTGGTGTGGTGTGGCAGGTGTGGTGTGGCAGGTGTGGTGTGGCAGGTGTGGTGTGGCAGGTGTGGTGTGGCAGGTGTGGTGTGGCAGGTGTGGTGTGGCAGGTGTGGTGTGGCAGGTGTGGTGTGGCAGGTGTGGTGTGGCAGGTGTGGTGTGGCAGGTGTGGTGTGGCAGGTGTGGTGTGGCAGGTGTGGTGTGGCAGGTGTGGTGTGGCAGGTGTGGTGTGGCAGGTGTGGTGTGGCAGGTGTGGTGTGGCAGGTGTGGTGTGGCAGGTGTGTGACGGAGTGTGGAGGGTGTAAGAGCAGAGAGGCTGCAAGAGGGAGAGGAGGCGGGGAAGGGAGGTTGGATGCATCCAGCAGGGGCAATGCCATGCACTGACAAGGGCGCACCTGAGAAGGGCGCACCTGACAAGGGCGCATGTGAGAAGGGCGCACCTGACAAGGGCGCACGTGAGAAAGCAGCGGTACACCTGAGAGTGGTTGCCTGCATTCAGCACACTGCATGACAGATAATGGCACACCTGAGAAGGGGCCGTGCGAGTGGTAGACCACGAGAGCCAGTTCCACCGCTGCTGTGCCCGCCCTCTGCCACAACACGGGTCAACACCAGTCAACGCCAGTCCGCCGCGTCAGTCAGCGTCAGTCAACGCCAGCTAACGCCAGCCAGCGGCAGTCAACCCTAGCCAACGCGAGTGAACAACATTTGTAGGAGGTGGAAAAGGTCAAGCGAGCAGCAAGGAAGTGAGGAAGGGAGGAGGAGGGTGGAGGGGGCACGAGTAGGGGAAAGCGGAGAGTTGAGGTGCTCACACTCTCTGCCCCGCCCTGCCTTGCCCTGACCCGCCCTGCCCCCCCCTGCCCGGCCCTTACCCGCCTTGCCCTGCTCTCCCCTGCCCTGCCCTGCTCTGACCTGTGTGAGCGAGTCGACGCCACAGAATGCCCTGGCGGTGGCGGCCATGGCATGCGCGGAGGATAGGGGGGCGGACGGAGAGGGGGGAAGGGGAGAAGGGGACGGAGGTCAAGGGGGGTGGAGGGAAGGGGGAGGAGAGCAGGAATTGGAGGGGAAAGGCCGAGAGAGTAGGAGGAGAGGCGTGAGTGGGCGCGGAATGCATGGCGTGCCTGCAGGGACGCGCTACAGCAGGGCGCCGCTGAAAAGCAAAGCATGCACTCGAGCTGAAAAGCAAAGCATGCACTCGAGCTGCGTGCAAGTGAAGCCGAGAGCCTAGTGGGAGCGGGCACGCACTTGAGCAGCGGGTGCAGGTAGAGGCGTCGCAGCAGCGCCCACGACGGTCCCAGGCTCGCCGTGCCCTCCACCACCACCACCACCTGCTTCACCGCCCCGCGCCTCGAATGCCCCGCCGCCGCCTGCTGCTGCGGGTGCGGCTGCGTCTGCGGCTGCGGCGCGTGCGGTTGCGGTTGCGCCATGTGCAGCCGCGGCATCGGCGCCTGCGCGGCTGCGGGATGCATGCCCCCCGCGCCTGGCGTGACACTCCCCAGCGGCGCAGCCGCCATTCGCGCCGCTCACACTCCGCTCACCCGCCGCTCACCCGCCGCTCGTAGCGCGCGCCTGCGTGCAACCTCTCCGCGCTGCCTCTCTCCGCGCTGCCTCTCTCCGCGCTGCCTCTCTCCGCGCTGCCTCTCTCTGCGCTGCCTCTCTAAGCGCTGTTTCCGTCGTTCCTGTGGGTCGCTGCAAGACAGGCCCGCTGCGCGGCAGTAAGCGGGTCTTACGGGGAGCACATTGGTGACTAATCATACCCGTCGCACAGATTTCGGCTTATTGCGGAACTTTCCGTTGCACAAATTTTAGCAGAGAACCAGAATTGCCTTCGAAATGTGAAGAGTGCACTGTAGAGAACGAGTGAGGATTGTACTAACGGGGCAACAAGATACAAAGTTAAAGTGACGATGCACATTCCTATGGGTAGTTTCAGGGGGTATAGTTAGGGTACACCCTTTAATGCTAGCTGATTCGTTGGCGAAGTGACCAAGTTTGTAAAAGCTGGTGCGAGGTTTCCAACCAGTACTGGCGAAGCCAACCCATTTCGGACAACCACTAGGGCGCGCGCGACTCCCTCCAATCATATCCGTTGAGAAGGTTGGTTAGGCGGAACGAGCAAGCTACCTGGCAGAACTCATTCGCGGAATCCGAAGCAACCATCCGGCAACAATAACATGGGCGTGACGATCTCGAGGCCACGTGCAGATAGATACCGCCAATTTGATACTTAAGATAGCGTCGCGCCACTACGACTTAGTCCACCCCGGAGTGTCCGGTTCCCTACGGTATTAGGAGAGCGTCATCGTATGCGAGTTGCTTCAGCACGGCTAGAGCGCGTAGTCGTCATGCAACCGGCGCGTCACTTTCCCGTTGTGGCTGCGGGAACGCCGTGTCGCATTCTCGCACAATGGTCATAGGCTCGACGATTTTAGGCGGTCGTCTCCTCTCGCCTTCTTGCAAAATGCGCCAACCCGCGCGGCATCACGCCCAGGCCAAGTCAGCACCAGTGCTGCATCGTCTCCGCACTGCCGCCCCTCCGCAACACCGCTTTCCCATCTCCACATCGCCACCACAATACCGAATTGGGCACAGCGCGATGAAATAGCACCTACAACGCCGCCTCATAGCCACATAGCCGCCTCGCTACCACATCGCCGCCACCTCGCCGCCACATCGCGAGGTCTCCGCGTCGCCGCCTCACCGCCGCCATATCGCGAGCTCTCCGCGTGGCGGCCTCATTGCCGCCACATCGACGCATCGCCAGCACATCGCCGCTTGCTGCATCGTGTTGTAAATGGGCACGCTCTTCACGTGCCACGCTACTGTACACTCCAACCCCTTCCCCTCAAAACACCCTCGACACATTTTCCTAAGAATCCATCCAAACCACTCAACTCCTCCAAAGCCTATTCCAACCACTCAAGTTACAAACTTCCTTTTCCAACTCATCTTCTCCAACTCAAGCCTATCAACCACCACTTTAATTACTCCCAACCACCATAGCCTTCTCCAATCCAACTCAACCAAGACTCCAACAACTTTTCCTATTCACCTCCAAGCCCCACTATAAGGCGCATGACTCCTCAAAATTTCCCATGTGCTCTCCCTTCCTACTCATCAAAGATTACGCAAGTCATCTACTTCCTCCAATTATCCTCCTCCCATGTGCCTTCAAGCACATGCCTCCATTTCCTAGTCATCAACTTCCACATGCCTCTCCTTTTTTCCTTCCTTCCTTCCTTTCCCAAGTCACCAAAGTTGCCACCTCATTCCCAAGGACCTTATGATTACTATCTCACTTCCCCTACCAAGTCACCAAAGCTATCCTATCTCCTCCACTCATCCCTTCACAAGTCACCAAGTCCTCTTCCAACACTACAAAACTTACAACTCTGACTCAACAAGTGCTCAACCACCACCACATGCTCTACTACTATTCAACTCCAACAAGCATCTCTCCAATTTCTCAAGAAGGTTCTTCAATGACAACAATGCTTTTCAAGCTTCTTCATCAAGCTCCTCTTCAACTCCTTCCCAAGCTTCTTCTTCAAGCTCCTCTTCAACTACAAAGGCTCCTTACTAGCAACCAAGTTCAATGTCTCCAAAGTTGATACTCTCATGCAACTCTCTTCCAAGGCTATCATTTGATGGTTACTCTTTCTATGCATGCCTATGTATCCCTCATGGATCTATAAGGCTTGTACTATACCTTTCTTAATATAATTTTATGCTCACAAAGTTCTCTCTCCCTTAGTCTACAAAGTAGTTACCAAGTTAAGAGTAGTCTAGCTCATACTCCTTAAGAGTATAAAGAAGCTACAAGCTACAAGCTCAAGGGAGGATCATCATCCAACCCAAGGCTTGGAGTCACTCCCAAGTGAAGCATACAAGCTCAAGTTCTTCCCCCAAGTTACTTCTACAACTATCCCTAGTAAGATTCACTCAAGTAAGTGTTCATCACCTCTCTCATTCTCTCAATAAGCTCACACTCATCTTCTCTTATAAGTTCTTATCTCATCAAGCAATCCATCTTACACAAGTTTCTCATTATAGTCACAAGTTCTAAGTATCATCTTCTCTTCTATCAAGCTCATCCACATATGCTACAGTTCCACTGTTCACTCTTGTCTTATTCTAGTGTGCAATCATTCCTTTTTGTCTTTATCTCAATTCTCTACTGGTATCAGAGCAACTTACCTCCTCGCTTTCGCTAGTGTCCTCTTGAAACAACAACAAAGAAAACAAGAGGCGACGAGATCGTCTTAGGGTTGCGAAGCTGTGTTCTTTTTATACCTGTATCACTTTTGTTTGTACGGTAATGATTCTTCTTTTGAATCAAAAGTTATCCATATTTCAGAAGGTTTTGAGACTGCTAAAAGGAACTTTGGATTCGAACCCAGAACCTTCGGTTCAACAGCTGACATGCAAACGACTGCGCTAGAAGCAATGTCGAATCTCTTCCAACTAAGGTAACCAGCGATATGCTTTGCGACGAATCTGAACTGGGTAGGGTTTCGTAACTTCCTCTTTTCGATTTTCTCGCTTCCACCCGCTCTGCAGAGCGATGTCAACAGAGGTAGGTGCATACCTAACACGACTTAGCCTTCTGAAACTCAAATAAATAGAGCGCTAGTGTGCTAGTGTCTTCTGTTGGCTGCTTTAGGCACCGTTGAAGATTAAAATTTACATCAGATTTTCCCTTGTTAACGATTCTGTACTCGTTGCCGTTCAGGCGTTACCGTCAAGTGTCTTGGACGTGCAAAGACATAGTTGTTCGTGGTGAGTCTTCCTTGTTTTCTTAGTAGTTCCATTACCTCATTGCTCTTTTTCTCTTGCGCTTCATTTGTAGTCTCCTTGCGCTCGTAAGTCTTTCTTTCTTCGCCATGCACCTCCTCTTTCACCTCGTTTCGTGCTGTCGTTCGTTTCCCCTCCGTAGCTTGTTTCTTTCTACCATGTTGTTCCTCCCTTAGATTTCCTTGTTTATCATTCCTCTCTTTCTAGTGCATCTCATGATTCCATTCTTCTTTTCTCACTTCGTCATATACCATTGTCATTGTCTTTCCATTGTTTGATGTTTAGTAACTGAACAATCACTAAAATACCTGAAAGATTTCCATTGCTTCCGTCTGTCCTTGTCTTCGCAAAAGTCTAGTTTCAACCTCCTCTTTTCCTTCTATTACTTCGCGTTCCGTTCAGTTGTTTTTCCCTTCTGTTCAATCTACTTTCGAATGTCGTTTTCTTGTCTGTTCCTTCTCTGTTTTAATTCACGATCGAAGTCGCTTTCTATGCCTATCTCTCTTTCCCT